CCAAACTTACTTAATAATGTCATTGTAAAACTATGTTTAATAAATAATGTATCAGATTTTTATTTTTAATCTTTTATTGTAAATAAGTTTGGAAAAGGTCACAAATGAATTAAATTTAAGTAGACGTGCCCTTTTCCAAAAAAACCGATTCACTTATTTTTCTCTTCATTTGGTCGCAGGATTTCAACATGGGTACAATCTACTGCTCCTATTATCCCTGGAAAATTTCTTGCTTCTATAAAACATAACTAAATTTGTTGTTTTTCCTGTAGAGTTCTAGGAAACCGAATCCATTCCCCTGAGAAGGTGTTTATAATGGCCGTTTTTCCCCTTTAGCTCTCGACGTAATTCCATTTTATACTGGGACATATCTTTATTTAATCGAAATAACTCTACAAATCTTACATTTTCTATAGAGAATGGATCGCTTGTCTCTCTCATTACTAGCCTATCTATATTTTCCAAATGAAGATGTTATAGTCGTTCCTCCTTTTCAGCAGCTAATATATTGGCCACAAACAAAGGGACCATTATTACAAATCAAAGCAAAAACTAGATAACACAAACTCAAAATCAAAACCAAAGCGGCACCTTATCTGTCAGAAATTGACATACTTGACAAAAAGTAACAAATCTCTCTATAATTCATGCTAACATTTTTAGATCGGTTAGTAAACCTCCGAGAATGTCCGATGTTTTGACATCCATGAATCGACTGTCACACGGAGTACCGGCAAATAATAATATCCCAAATCATAATTCTATGAAATTTCTGTTGGAGATATTATTTTTCTGTATCTCGTAGAGTGCTGGGTAATAAGACACGTAGATTATTACAACTTTCTATTAGCAGAATTTAATTATAAAAACGTGACGAACATCTTAACAGTCAAATCAACAACTAACTTGCTTGACATTTTTAAAAGTGACATAAGTGACACATGTCACAAGAACATAGATTAAAGAGCGATAGATATCAAAAACAGATGTATTAATTGTGACAACCTTATTATTGATTATTTCCAACAATTTTAACAACTATTCACAATTTATTAAACTATTAACGCGAAATTTTTATTAGTATCTACGAAATAGTTTTCTACGTCAATGTTTCGTGTTCATTTCGGTTAGCTCCGCGTCAAAACTGTCAAATCCTGTGTATGACGTGGGAGAACTGGCAAAATCTTTTCCAACTTATGTCCCTGCTAGACAAGATTTCTCAATAGCCACAAAGTCTATGTAGCTAATATAGTGTAGTTGATTTGCACCCAACGATCAGAGCCAGGCAGCTGTTCGACGAGGCACGTTCCATCTACAGGCGGATGCAGAAAATAAAGAAGATAAAATGCCGTAAAATTTTATGCTACGATTACGGTTTGCGGATTCGAAGAGCTCGAAATTTATAAATTATTTATAAGATTTTATTACCTATCTATTCTTGTTTTTGTCAATGACAGGATACAGAGCGAACAGTACCTTTTAAAATTCAAGACGTTATAAGTATGGCATGATTAAAATTTGTATAAACAGGGTGCCTCAAAAGAAACGCTCAACATTTAAAATTGCACTTATTTGTTTTTACTAAATTCGATACCACCGGTATTTTGTTTAAGTACATGATCTAAATATTTCGGTTGAATCATTATTTATATCAAATTTAACTAAATTAGATGTAATTTCACTAAATAGATGTAATAATTTTCAATAAATTCCAAAATCTAGTAATGTTAAGTTAGAAGTGGCAACAGGGCTTACATCTGCATGTATATCTATCTACGTTGTTTATTATAAACGCAAATCGATTACACCCTGGTTTACACATTTATTCATTGATAAAATAAAGTTGTATCTGCGTATAATCCTTCTCTTTATCCCCTCCCTTACTTCTCACCTTTCATCTCCTCGCCGCAGACCAACAACTGGAGAGTATTGATTGTCGAATTAATCTTGCCATCGTGAATATTATAAATTTATCAATGAACGGTTATATCTCTGTTATCCTCTGCCTTTGACCCATTTGTGTAACCTCATACCCTTATATGGCCATGGCTTAAGGACGGAAAAAAGTGAAGGGGTGGTTTCAAGTAATATAATGCTATTGGTCATCGTTTAACGTTCATTACGTGGACATGCAATGTTCGAAGAGGTATCCAGAAAGGGACAACATTTTACCGTCCAGTATCCTATCAAAAACGTTCAATAGACGTCTATTGGCCATTGTTTAGAGTTCGAAGTTTGCTACAGTTTTTCTGTCAAATACAATAATTTAAGTTTTTTTTTGCATTTTTTCATAAAACAAATATAAAGTAAGTCATGCATTTTATGCGTTTATTTCTGGATGTATATTATCAGATATATTAAGAACACTGTATTTATAAAAATGTAAATACATATTTTTAAAAACCTTTTAATGTCAACACCTACCCGCATACCTACTACTTAATATTCCTTTATCTGTAAAGTGCCTACAAGATTATAACCAGTTTTTACATTTGCCCTAAATTGACGGTATATCTGATTAGTGATAGTAATTACTCAAAACGGCAAGGTGACTTGCAATATTGATTTGCCTCGTATATACGGGTATCTAATTAGACAGATTCAATGGGTTCTTAAAACAGCAGGTGGAAAATGAAAAAGCTTCTCAAATTGTATTTGCACCTTTGATAATATATTTATTTAAAAATTTAATCATTTGATATTGCGTTAAAAAATGTGAAAGAATGTTAAAGAATGTGAAAGAATGTTAAAGAATGTTAGAGAATAAAGATGGTTAAAGATGGTTAAAGATGGTTAAATATGGTTAAAGATGGTCAAAGATAGTCAAAGATGGTCAAAGATGGTCAAAGATGCTTAAAGATGCTTAAAGATGCTTAAAGATGCTCAAAGATGGTTAAACAAAATTAAGGAACGTTAAAGAATATTATAGAACATTAAAGAACGTGAAAAACGTTTAAAATTAATTCGGATGCCTTGGCAGGATTCCCCACTCGACCATTCACTGTTGGGTTCTAATTAACAGTGCTGTTCCTAAAGTGGCGCTGGGAAACAGTAACAAAGCCTACACAGAACACGAGGCTAATGACCTTAGCAGTCGATGCCGATGACACCAAATAAATAAAAAAAAAAAAGAATTTTAAAGAAGCTTAAAACGTTTAAGAACGTTAAAGAATGTTTAATAACGTTAAGGAATGTTAAAGAACTTTAAGAACATTTATGAACGTATAAGTGCGTTTAAGAACATTATAAAACTTTAAAAAATGTTAAAGAATGTCAAAAATATCTTTAAAGTTAACCAAAAATGTTTAGGTAGTGTTTACCACTGATGAAATTTCTTTCTTAAAAACACTGAAATTTTTTTTTCTAAATCTGTACTGGAATCTATATTCTGTTATTGCGAACCCTCAATATTTTGGTAACGAGCCGTCACTGCTTTAAAGCACTACGAAAGTGCTTGGTGCTTGGTAATTCATGTGTTTCGCATAAATGCTTTACAAAACTCTGAAAACAATTGATTAATTCAATGTTCAGCTCATTTCTTTTAAAAGAAACAGCTGAAAAGTACAAGGATATGGAATACAAACGTACGATTTTGTATAAAAACTATCGAAAATAGTTTTAAAATAAACTAGAAGCAGTCCAAAATTCTGACAATAAGAGAAATTTTTAAATTTGTATTCGCAACAACCGAAAAGTAACTTTTCGTTTCTTCGATATAATTAAATTAAGGAATTTACCAAATTAAGGGTCATGAATCATTGAAGTTAATTTTCTAATTAAATTTGTACACCCTATATAACTTTGGTTGCAATATACATCGCATGACATTGAAGTAGTTACACAACGACGCCAAAGGGCTTTTACCCCCATTAGGGTGTGTTTTTATACCACTTTTTATTTACTTAATGTAAAAAAGGAGTGCCATGTTATTATCACAAAGCTGCAGATGCATTTTTATGAGCTAGCGTAAAAACAAAGAATTTTTTTTACATTCGGTAAAAATTAAATCCAAATACAGCGTAGACAATTAAACAAATAAGAGACATTGACACCTGTTGAATTAAAATAATTACATAATCCTAATATCATATTACCTGTTAGATATTATTATAAAAAAGGCGTATAAAATTTAAATTTTTAGGTGTGGACAGTACACCAAACCTCAATCTCCGAATCAAATAACAACCGAAATCAACTTTAATTCGCTACTTGATATTGAACTCAAGTATGTCGGCCAAACATAATCTAAAATGTAAATGATAGATACATTGAGATTTCACACAAAAGGTTTTGAATAATATTATTATTGCATAATGGTAAACAAGAGGAAAAAAATCAGATTAAAAAAATGTATGTAGGTAGGATAATAGTAAATATTAATCTATGACGATTGTGACTAGATAAATGCGGATTAAATTTCATAATTAATTAGTTATAGTTGTGTTTGAGGTAGATTTTATATTGTTGTAAAAATAATAATTAATCTACGACGGAAGTTTCTTTATATGTTCAAGGGTTAATTTATAAAGGGAGGGAAAATTAGTACCACATTTGAAACATTAATAACCTTCTTACTGTTAATTTCTACTTTAAAAAATCAATATTTAACAAGGTATAATAGGAACATGCTCATAACGGACAGGCATCGCTGTCACTTACTGCGCATCAATCTGTGCTTATGTAGTGAGGCAAACAGAGGTGGTAGTCGTATTGTTAAGTAGTTAAGGTTTTTTAGGAATCTGAATTTGTCATCAATTAAAAAAAATAATTTAATTAATCAATTATAAAGCTTTAGTTGGATTGCTCACTGGAAGATTCTAATTAACAGTGATGTTTCTAAAGTAGTACTAGGTAACAGTTGTCAGTTGCGTTGACTGCATTGCTAAAAACAAAACAAACTACTTTTAATAAATGGAAATAATATTCATATTATTAGATATTTAATTTTCTTATTGACATATTTACAAATATGATATTGACGTATAGTTTATTTGTTACAGGCTCACGTGGTCTCAGCCTTCGAGCAGAGTCTCACTTCTATGACGCAAAGACTTCAACATTTAACTGCCACATCAGAGAAGAAGGTAATTATCAAAAATAATAGTAAATAATTTTTATTACATTTAAAATTGTTGCTAAAAGTCGATTTGATTTTCTTTATCGAGTTGCACGCTTTGTGGTTCATAATTGTCTTTTTAATTTTGCATATAGAGCTGAAATAAAACAGTAAATTTTAAGAACTTTATTGTGTTTCGAAGTATTTTCTACGAGGATTGATGCCCTTTTCATTTGCTCGATTAAACTCTGGAGACAGTAGTTATTCCAAACCCTAAGTAAACACTATTGGTACCAAATCCTCTTGTTTTCGGTTTTGCTACGAAGCCTTAGTTCCTAGGGTACTAATATTTTGCTACTTTATTGAATATAAGGCTACTTTATATGGTTCTTAAAAAGTAACTGTTACCACAGCGATGCCATTTATTGTAACTGTAAGCAACCAAAGTTAAACTAACATTTGGGTAGTTACTGTAATGGACGGTATCATTTTATTGTTACTTTATAGTGGCAAAACTATATAGTACCAGTGAATCAGTTACTCCCACCCACCAGTGCCACTAATTTGCCTAAATAATGTAACTAAGTACATAGATAGGCAAAAAGGTCTCAGAATAGTCAAAGTAATATTTGGATAGTTACTGGAACTGGGCAGTATTAATGTATTGTTACTTTATAGTACCAGTGAATCAGTTACTGCCACCCACTGATATGCCTAAATAAAGTAACTGGGTACATTGGCAAAAATGTCCCAGAATAGTCAATATTTGTGTAGTTACTGGAACTGGACAGTATCATTTTATTGTTACTTTATAGTGGCAAAAACTATATAGTACCACTGAATCGGTTACTGCCACCATCATTGGCTCTATAATGTGCCTAAATAAAGTAACTGGGTATATAGATAGGCAAAAATGTCCCAAAATAGTTGAAAGTAATATTTTAAGAGTTACTGAAACTGGACAGTATAATTTTATTGTTACTCGATAGTGGTAAAAAGTATATAGTACCAGTGAATCAGTTACTGCCACCCACTTGTTCCTCTAATATGTCAAAATAAAGTAACTGGATACATATAGATAGGTAGATGAGTCCCAGAATAGTCAAAGTAATACTTGCGTAGTTACTGGAAGTGGACAGTTTCACTTTATAGTGGCAAAAACTATAAAGTACCAGTGAATTAGTTACTGCCACCTACCAATGCCACTAATATGCCTAAATTAATTAAATGGGTGCGTAGATAGTCAAAAAGATCCCAGAATAATCAAAGCAATATTTGGAGAGTTACTGGAAGTGGGCAGTATCACTTTATTGTTACTATATAGTGGAAAATTAAAATGATATAGTAGAATGGTTCAAAAGATCATATCTTGGAACTTTACAGTATCATGGCATTTTAGGTCAACATGGATATCAAAATAGTTCCTATTGATACTTTACAGTTTCTGCCACTATCTTGTGTTGACTCAAGGCCACTATAGAGTTTCATAAACTTTGTAGTGGGGAGTTTCAGAAAACTTTATAGTACCTTCGTTAAAAGTGGTCATTATAAGTTGTTTTGCGAAAATTTTAAGAAAAAAAAATGATTTTAAAAAATAGACAATAGTTATGTTAAAACTTAAAAAAAAAACGATTTTAAAATTTTCCCAAATGTTTCTCTAATAAATATTAATTTTCTATATTGGATTTTGTCAAAAAATTAAAAACACTATTCACGATTCAAACTAAGTGACACGCCCTCTGAAGGAAATTTGTAAGGGGTGCCTATAAGTAGGATATTGTTCAGTGTTGCCAGAAGTAGCGAAATTTCGCTACGTCGTCGGATTTTAGCCCTTGAAGAAGCGGATAAGACCTTTTGTTTAAGAATCAAAATTTGTGTCTAGTAATATGTAATCATACTCTTTATTTATTTAAGGATTTTTTTTATAAAACCGATTTATTATATTTTATAATTTCAGTTCATTTATTAATTTTGTTTTAAAATCAGTTCACCATTTGGCAACATTGGCATTCGTGTTCATTGTTTATATTTTAATTTGTATCAATTATAATTCGAGTTTTTTTCTTACTTTTTAGCTTTAAATTTGTTTATTTTTTATGATTTTTTTAATGTCAAAATCAATACTAAAGGTATTCATTATTTTTCAAGTGTAAGTGGTAAAATTCTGTTTCTTACGATAAATGGATTTGTACAAATTCACAATATTGAAATTTTGCAAAACTTTGTTTAGAATCAAACTGACTCTTTTATTTCCATTTACATGTATACAAAGTACTATACAATTCACTTCATAATATAAGAATAAGTATAATAAGATTTTTAAATAAGTTCACCAATAATTAATGTTTGGTACCTGAAATGTCCTTTAAACCATATAATAAAACATGTCCTGCGTTTAATAAATACATATTTCTAGATGTTCTTGTAGCAACCAATAGATGAATATTTCCAACAAATTAAGTCATACACATGATAAATATTATATTTATGACGAAAGCACGAAATCTGAACTAAATTAACAATAAATGAAACTTAAAAACACTATTACAATGAGAATATTATCTAAAAACAGTTAAAAAATCACAAATACAAAATCCCGCCCAAAACAAATACATGTAAATAAATAAACATCCTACTTATAGGTGACAAATGACAGGCGCGCAAAAATTAATTTGAATTGCAAATATATATCGCACTGAAGCTTTGGATTTAGGTTAATTCGATGTAGTTTTTTATTTTAATAGTGAGATTTGATTCTTGGCGCCTGTATGCAAAACTAAAGATGTTCCTCGTATAATTTAGAATAAGAATATATTGATATGAATTTCCGCCCCGGCGTAGCTCTGAGCACCAGGAACAATACTCCTGAGGGTGTGCTTCTCTCTGAAATTTTATAAACAAGTTAAAACTGATAACAATAATAAAAAAATATGTTCTCAATCTTCTACCGGATTTCTGTAATTTCTCAATACAAAATAAATTATTGCTCTGCTCCCAGCTGGTATTCTCTGTTGATTTGAATGCTTTTAAAACTTGTAGATTATTGTAAAGTATGTCATTATCAATGACAACTTAGAAAATTAATTCACTGTCAAATAACTTATCAATTAAAAAGTACTTATCTTTTGGATTTATTTTCCTTTGATACGTTCAATTAGTGCGATACTATTTACTTCTTTCAAAATCTGTATTCAATAATAATCAGATTTTCAAAATATCCATTTATTATAACATTATAGATAATGATTAATCTTCACTGTGATTTTCTGTATATTATAATTTGTTTTCTTGGTACCAAGAAACAATTTTATTACTAAAATTGTTTAATTTTGAGGATCGTTGAAACTTTTGATCCTCCTCTCAATTTTTATGGTACCTCTCTCTTTTTTTTAAACATCCATCCAAAAAATCACAATTACTATAACAACCAATTCAATTTTTTTTTTTCAAATTTATAACTTAAACACATTTCATATAGTGGGTGATATTCTTCCTGATGCTCAAAGCACACCAATCAGGAATCCATATCAATATATTCTAAATTTTTTCATATTACTTGTGTGTAAATAACTTGACTCCAGTTGTTATTTTTCTTATAACTCAAGGAAAGCGAACTCCAAGAGCTTCGACAAGCCATGGACGCTCTCCGCGCTCAATCCATCCAAGCCGGTATAGGCTCCACCCTAGCCCGTCAACCTTCTTCTGACAGCGTCTCGAGTCTCTCTTCCGCCTGCAGCCTCGACAAACACGACAAGAAAAAGAAGAAAGGCTGGTTGCGTAGTTCGTTCACCAAAGCATTTTCGCGGAACGCCAAAGTCAGCAAAGTCCAATGTCAAAGCGATAATACAGAAGAAAGAACACACAGTCCCCTTCCGGTACCACCAACGGATCCGGGACTCGAAGTGGTCGAGCTCCAGAAGCAGCTCAGAGAGAAGGATTTGGTTTTGACGGATATAAGGTTGGAAGCGTTGAGTTCTGCACATCAGTTGGAGAGTTTAAAAGATACCGTTATGAAAATGAGGGTAAGTTATTTGATGATCTTAATTTGTATTTTTTTCAGCCTTTGGATCTTCCTCCAATATCACTGGTTATACTCGAGAACCTTCAGGTATCAAACGTGGAGGTGCTGTAGTCTTCGAAGCTTAGATTTTAATTCCAATCTTTTCTGATACTCTTTCTCCAATTTCTTTTGAATCTTCACCGACTACTTTTACCATTTCATCTCTGCATTCTTGTTTATATATCTTTAACGTAGCGTTACAGTAAAATGAATAATTGTCATTGTCATTTGAAATTAGTAGGAATGAATTTATGTTTTAGAGTGAAATGTTGAGTCTAAAACAAAATAACGAACGACTTCAGAGGATGGTCACCGGAACTCCTAATTTACCTACAGATCTCACCGATACGAGAAGTAGTAATAGTATCGATGCCTTAAGTGACCTCATTCCTACCGAAGAACCTGCGCCTGAAGTGGAAACTGACGGCAAACGAATAGCAATTTCCGTATATTTAGGACAACCACAAAGTTTTGACAAGTAAGTTTAATACAATTTCTACCAATACATAAGTATATACTTATTGTATATTATTTTGTTTAGGTATTATTTGGATCATTACGGGTATGACGGCTTAAGTGATAATGCCAATACTGAAATATCTATAGCTCATACTAACATAGGTGCCGCATCCTCATGGGCACAACTCGACAACGCTGTCAGGAGAGCATTCAAGCAATACGTTGCCAGATTGGATCCTGGAGGTGGATTAGGGTTAGGTAAGTTTACTGGTCATTCATGTTTAGTGCTATGTAAGTCTAAATTTAATCATTTCTAGGTAGCGACGCCATAGCTAGTTATAAATTAGGAGAAGCAGAAAGAAAACCAGATTCCGGCCCTCCAGACCTCCTTCCTGTAGGCTACGCGGTCGGTAGAGTATCAAACTTACACGTTGTTCTGCAACCCGTAGCAGCCTTAGCTTTCGAAGCCTTAATACCAAAAGGGGTTGCGCAACGACTGGTCTCTTTGTTAGCGGAGCACAGGAGATTGGTGCTATGTGGAGCACCCGGTACCGGAAAGACGCATTTGGCAACTAGATTGGCTGAATTTCATGCACAGAGTCTCGGAAGAGATCCAGCAGAAGCTGTGGCTACTTTCAAGTAAGTACTTAATAAAATAATACGATTTATTGGAAATTTATTATGACATCTTGCAGTGTTGACAACAAATCTGGCAAAGAACTTCGTCAATACCTAAATCATCTCAGTGAACAAGCCGCCGCAGGTGACAACAGCGTTCTTCCTTGCGTGGTGGTTCTGGACAACCTTCATAAAGCCGGCACCTTAGCGGATGCATTAGGCTCTCTGCCTCGAAATTTACCTTGCCTATTAGGAACCATGGCGCAGAGTGCTTGCTCTGCGACTAGCCTTCAACTTCAACACGGTTTTAGATGGGTCCTCGTTGCACCACATATGGAACCCGCTAGGGGATTGCTAGGAAGAGTTTTGAGAAGGAGGTTGGCTGCATTGGAACTAGAACAGGGTCCACAACCGGAATTGGCTGCAATTTTGGGATGGTTACCAAGAGTGTGGCAGCATCTGAACGCTTTTCTGGAGACGCATAGCAGCGGAGATGTTGCTATCGGTCCCAGATTATTCTTAAGTAAGTTCTAGTTAATATCTAAAAGAAAACACTAATAATATTAATATTTAGGTTGTCCACTGGAGCTGGATGCAGCTCGAGCATGGTTTGCCGACGTCTGGAATTACTCCCTAGCGCCTTACCTGAGAGAAGCAGCTCGTGAAGGTCTCCAACTTTACGGTCGTCGAGCTCCTTGGACGGACCCCACCCAATTCATCCTTGATACGTACCCTTGGCCAGGTTCGCCACCTCAGGGATTAACCACAATTTCTGCCAAAGACGTGGGGCTCGAAGTGGGTCCTTCGGCACAATCCGAAAACGAAGCTGATCCCCTGTTAAATATGTTGATGAGGTTGCAAGAAGCCGCGAATTATTCCAGTCCGCATTCGAACGATTCGGATTGTAATAGTTTGGACTCGAATTTAACCAATGGGGGTAATTTAGGGACCGAGAATGTTTCGCAGGTTTGAAAATAATTAAAATTTGAACTGTAAAAGTGTATTGTAAGGAAACTGGTCGGTTTTTAAGATGGTATTTTTTCCTTGTTTATTGGATACAAATTCTCGTAGGAAAGATTTTGATATTAATATTTAAATTATTATTTTTGAACAAGGCCCTCCATTTGAATAATTATTTTCCATTATTAATGTTGGTACATACAATTAGGTTAAATAAAAGAAAATAGTACATACACATGTCTTCCAATTGAATTGTCCCGTCTAAATATACGTTACTATATTTTTATTAGAAATATCTATATAACAGATCTTATAAAAATCCAACTGACAAACTTATATTAGAATTCAACCCCAACCAATCATGATATTACGAAAAATAGTTTTTGGAAAGGCAATTTATTGCTTTAATTTAAAAAAAACGAAAGACTATTTGCAGTAAATATTTTATAAATTGAAGATCTCGGTCGTAAAACTTGTTAACTGACAAAAAGTAAATTTTATAAGAATTGTGTTTTTTAAATAGCAAAAAAATGTATTTTGAGCAGTATTATCATCTCGTATATCCCCCGTAAACACACATAATATAAACGGAAATAATCAAATACTAGTCAAAATATTATCGATCGGAGCACCATCTTTACTACATTACATGAAGTAATTATTGATTTTTCGGGGTTGGTTTAGAGTTAAATTAGACGCCATTTTTGGTCCAAATTCGTTTTGACATGTTTTTTCAAAGAAAGTGACTTATAAATTTCAAATCTACACGTTTTGAAAAATATACAATATTTAAATATTCTGAGTGTACCAAATTCCAAGTAAAGGTTGAACTTAGGTCGTATTACATTTTTTTTTATTATTTGTTTGACATGGAGGTTAAAATAATTCTACACGGCACCTTTGAGATTAAATAAAAGGGGGTTATTTTACATGATTGGTTTTTATTGAAAATAATAAATTTATTAATTTTCAATAGTAAGGTGACCTAAGTTAGACCTTTATTTTTAATTTGGCCAAAAATTAGATTTTTAAACACTACATATTCGGAAAACTGTCGATTTAACTTTTGGTCTACACATACACTTTTAATACACAGGGATACCCCGTCCTTAAGTCACATGTCCTAAGTAAATCCTAAGGATCATCATGAAACAATATACTATTTACATCATCGCTGCGTTTTTAAAGAATCTACCTCAATCACAAAGCTTAAGAGTCGTTTTTGATGGTTCAGCTAAATCATCATCAGATATTTAATAATAGTTCTTCTTACAATAAAATTACATTTCTTGTAAAAACACATTTTAAAAATTTAAAATTAAAACCACCAAACAAAAAACCTTCATCAATATTCCTCTTGATTCCACCCGAACTTTCACTTCGCGTCCAGCCGTCGTTCATCGTTATTCAACGATAATATTTGGCTACTTTTAAAATGGTCCAGTTACACCAACCAAAAGGACAATTTTTATTATTTCCATTCAAGGGGGACCTTTTTTTGATTAAATACGATTCATTTTGAATTTTTTTAAATTTATTTAGGATCTGTTATCTTTCACTTCTAAAATACTCAGATACCGATTTTTCGAAATGTTTTACGAGCGAGATCTTCAATTATTGTTCCTTAGCGGACTTGTTGATTTGGAATAAATCCGAATAAAGAAACAACACTTTATGATTCTGGATCGCTTTAAAATTATTTTTACTGTCTTTTATTAGACAGTAAAAAATGTATGTATTTAAATAGGTTCATTATTTTGCTTACTTTTGGTCATGTGATTAGTTTTTAAACACATGTGTCTTTTTACTTTGCCTTATTTTATACTTTTTGTAGTAGAACCTTCCCTTGATAATATAATATGTTTATAAACATTAATGTCAAAATCTATTCTACAATCTAACACAACAAATTAAAAATAACTAAATGTTTAACATATTTTAAAATTGTGTTAAAATATACATAAAAAAACGAACAGTTTCTTGACAAATTGCATCCTATTAGCCCTAAAGCGTAACTTGACTATAACAGAAGTGCTTAAAATGTTCTTGTAACATAGTGTTAAAGCCCTATTTATTTTATGAAATATACACAACTTTTTATAACGCGCTTAAAATCAAATCTCAATAATAAATACTTGAGCCGGTTTTCCGGATTATACAGGATGTCCAAAATAGCTACAAATTCTCAATAAAAAATATAAAGAATTTTGTAATTTAGTGTTTACAAAAATTTATTTTGGGCATGTTGTGTATTTCTCGTTTTGCCTTTATTATTTTTTTTTAGTTTATTTACGAGTTTTTTCTGGTCATAGACGTTTTTATGTAAATATGTTATTTATATAATACACATAGAAAATATTTGTATAATTTGTTTATTACATTTATATTAACACTGTAAATGTTTTTAAAAACTTTTATACCAAAATATGTATAATAAAACTGCCATAAATTATTATTTAAAGTAAAGGTGTTATTTTATTTTGCTTTGTCCTTAAAATTATATTTAGAACAAAGTATCACAGACTTCAATTTCAGCTAAATGGAAGTCTCAAAATCCTTTTGGACATATTAAAAAAGAAAATCTTTTCCTCATTAACTCGAAAACGGATTGAGATATCAAAGAATTGATTTCGTTTTTGGATTCACGAGGTATCCTCTATCAAAATGCATATGAGCACCTCAAAGGTAATGTGTGTTAAGTCACCAAATCTATCTTTGTCAGGAGAGGTATTTCAAAATTCACTTACTGTGAATTTAATAAATATTATTGGGGTAGTTGCAAGAGTCAATTGTTTGGTCAATTTATTTCGATTTTTGTTAGAATTTTTAACCCCAAATTTACAATACTTAGTTTGCGACTTATTACCGAGTGTTTCGTAATTTTCTAGAACGATAAATCCACAAGTTGAGAAAACTCTTCTCTCTGAAAAATGTGACTTAACCCACTTTACCTCTGAGGTGCTTGTATTTTCAATTCTATCGAAATTCCAAAATGTTTATTCTTCGATCATCTGGAAAAATTAGGTACATATAATAAAAAGCAATAGAGATTTCGGAGTCTGTCTACAACCGTTAAAATTTGTTATAATTTTCGTCACTTAATAATCTTGAATCGCCCTGTATATCTCACACAATGTAGAACAAATTTTATAGATTCTGTAATATCTTCAATTAATTACTAATTAATATTTTCAGTTATTTATTTTATCGGAACGAATTTATGAGAAATAAAACAAATAAATGTTATACTATAACTGACTTTATTTCGGTATATTCCACAAGAAGGTAAACTCAATATTACTACAAAAAACGGCTATCGCCAAACATTGATATTAATACAGGGTGATACGCATTACCTATTTATTCCAATATATTACACGATTCGAATGCTTTTGACCGCTCATCTGTATGTGTAGCCGTTTAAATGATTTAGTTCAGGATCAAAATGAACTCTGAGATCTCTTATAAATTCGGGACGATTTAGAACCACTTTCTGTAGTTTATAATCAAAAATTATAGGTGTTAATTTTTAAGGAAAGGACATCACGGAACATTTCTCAGGATTTAGAGGGAGTGAATTATCGATACACCACTTCGCAATGTCCGACACATTTGAAGTAGCAAGCAATGGTTAACAGAATTGATTTCAAGCAATAATTTAAGGTCGTCGGCATACATTAAAACTTTAATATGCTCGATATATCATTTATACAAATTATAAATAAAAGGGAACCTAAAATTGACCCTGTGGAACTCCTGATGTTTGTTCAAAATTTTTTGACCTGTAACCACGACATTGAACATATTGATGCCTACCCTACAAATACGAAGCAATTAATTGAATGATTTGCTTGCATAAACCAATGGAAATTAACTTGTGGAGCAAGATGGAATGATCAATTTTGTCGAAGGCCTTGGAAAAATCTGTGTATATTACATCAACTTGACTTCTTCTATCCAAGGCTTCCGAAATGAATTGTTTTGTGTGCGGTTTTGCGTGCATTGTTTTGCGTCCGCTGTTTTGTATGCGTTGTTTTGCATGCGTTATTTTACGTGCGTTATTTTGCGTGCGTTGTTTTGTGTACGTTGTTTTGTGTATTTTATAGTAATTTGATTGAGGAACTTAAATATCTCCTCGCTCTTCTGCTATCCTGATACCAAAAAATTTTGTCAACGAAGTCGCAACTTTTAGTAGTTTGAAACGGAAACCGAGTAAGTATGGAAAAATATTATTTCTGCTCCGAACTTTTATCTCCCCAAAAAAAAGGAAAGGATATAGCCTTCCAAATTTTTTGAGAAAACATTTTTTTGTCTCCGATTTCAATGAAAATTTGGCTACATATCAAAGAGAACAATGCAAATTAAGGAGTGGATTCAGTTGCTTCTTATTGACAAGGGTTTTATTTTTTTTTAATTTTCCTCAGTTATTAATAATCGAATCATTCTCTAAACTTTCTCAAAACGTAGAGCCGAACAGATATATTAAAGTGCTCTTTGTCTTTCGTTTTTATCCTAAGCCGTTTAGGAGATATTCAAGTTTATAAATCCGTCGATTTTGCGTTACCCTGAATGGCAATGACAATTTGATGAAGAAACTTAATTTTGCGTTACCCTGAATTTTATCGTAATTTAATTGAGGAGCTTAAATATCTCCCCGCTCTTCTGCTATCCTGATACCAAAATTTTGTCAACGAAATTGCAACTTTTAGTAGTTTGAAACGGAAACCGAGTAAGTATGGAAAAATGTTATTTCTGCTCCGATCTTCATGAAATTCGGCACTACGTTACAGTAAACGATTTAAAATGTCTTGCTGGTGTCTGCGTCTCTCTATGTTGGATACTTTTTAAGAAATGTGCTCCAACTTTTTAATTAGTCTTGTTAGAGGGGAACAGAGTATCTTTTGGAGATCCTGACGTTCCATTCTATACATACGTAAATTTTTTTAAACTTTTATCTTCCCAAAAAAAAGGAAAGGGTATAGCCTTCCAAATTTTTTGAGAAAAAAATTTTTTGTCTCCGATGTCAATGAAAATTTGGCTACATATCAAAGAGAACAATGCAAATTAAGGAGTGGATTCAGTTGCTTCTTATTGACAAGGGTTTTATTTTTTTTAATTTTCCTCAGTTATTAATAATCGAATCATTCTCTAAACTTTCTCAAAACGTAGAGCCGAATAGATAGATTAAAGTGCTCTTTGTCGTTTGTCTTTATTTTAAGCCGTTTAGGAGATATTCAAGTTTATATATCCGTCGATTTTGCGTTACCCTGAATGGCAATGACAATTTGATGAAGAAACTTAATTTTGCGTTACCCTGAATTTTATAGTAATTTAATTGAAGAACTTAAATATCTCCTCGCTCTTCTGCTATCCTGATACCAAAATTTTGTCAACGAAATCGCAACTTTTAGTAGTTTTAAACGGAAACCGAGTAAGTATGGAAAAATGTTATTTCTGCTCCGATCTTCATGAAATTCGGCACTACGTTACAGTAAACGATTTAAAATGTCTTGCTGGTGTCTGCGTCTCTCTATGTTGGATACTTTTTAAGAAATGTGCTCCAACTTTTTAATTAGTCTTGTTAGAGGGGAACAGAGTATCTTTTGGAGATCCTGACGTTCCATTCTATACATACGTAAATTTTTTTAAACTTTTATCTTGCCAAAAAAAAAAGGAAAGGGTATAGCCTTACAAATTTTTTGAGAAAATTTTTTTTTGTCTCCGATTTCAATGAAAATTTGGCTACATATCAAAGAGAGCAATGCAAATTAAGGAGTGGATTCAGTTGTTTGTTATTGACAAGGGTTTTATTTTTTTTTAATTGTCCTCAGTTATTAATAATCGAATCATTCTCTAAACTTTCTCAAAACGTAGAGCCGAACAGATATATTAAAGTGCTCTTTGTCGTTCGTTTTTATCCTAAGCCGTTTAGGAGATATTCAAGTTTATAAATCCGTCGATTTTCCGTAACCCTGAATGGCAATGACAATTTGATGAAGAAACCTAATTTTGCGTTACCCTGAATTTTATCGTAATTTAATTGAGGAGCTTAAATATCTCCCCGCTCTTCTGCTATCCTGATACCAAAATTTTGTCAACGAAATTGCAACTTTTAGTAGTTTGAAACGGAAACCGAGTAAGTATGGAAAAATGTTATTTCTGCTCCGATCTTCATGAAATTCGGCACTACGTTACAGTAAACGATTTAAAATGTCTTGCTGGTGTCTGCGTCTCTCTATGTTGGATACTTTTTAAGAAATGTGCTCCAACTTTTTAATTAGTCTTGTTAGAGGGGAACAGAGTATCTTTTGGAGATCCTGACGTTCCATTCTATACATACGTAAATTTTTTTAAACTTTTATCTTCCCAAAAAAAAGGAAAGGGTATAGCCTTCCAAATTTTTTGAGAAAAAAATTTTTTGTCTCCGATGTCAATGAAAATTTGGCTACATATCAAAGAGAACAATGCAAATTAAGGAGTGGATTCAGTTGCTTCTTATTGACAAGGGTTTTATTTTTTTTAATTTTCCTCAGTTATTAATAATCGAATCATTCTCTAAACTTTCTCAAAACGTAGAGCCGAATAGATAGATTAAAGTGCTCTTTGTCGTTTGTCTTTATTTTAAGCCGTTTAGGAGATATTCAAGTTTATATATCCGTCGATTTTGCGTTACCCTGAATGGCAATGACAATTTGATGAAGAAACTTAATTTTGCGTTACCCTGAATTTTATAGTAATTTAATTGAAGAACTTAAATATCTCCTCGCTCTTCTGCTATCCTGATACCAAAATTTTGTCAACGAAATCGCAACTTTTAGTAGTTTTAAACGGAAACCGAGTAAGTATGGAAAAATGTTATTTCTGCTCCGATCTTCATGAAATTCGGCACTACGTTACAGTAAACGATTTAAAATGTCTTGCTGGTGTCTGCGTCTCTCTATGTTGGATACTTTTTAAGAAATGTGCTCCAACTTTTTAATTAGTCTTGTTAGAGGGGAACAGAGTATCTTTTGGAGATCCTGACGTTCCATTCTATACATACGTAAATTTTTTTAAACTTTTATCTTGCCAAAAAAAAAGGAAAGGGTATAGCCTTACAAATTTTTTGAGAAAATTTTTTTTTGTCTCCGATTTCAATGAAAATTTGGCTACATATCAAAGAGAGCAATGCAAATTAAGGAGTGGATTCAGTTGTTTGTTATTGACAAGGGTTTTATTTTTTTTTAATTGTCCTCAGTTATTAATAATCGAATCATTCTCTAAACTTTCTCAAAACGTAGAGCCGAACAGATATATTAAAGTGCTCTTTGTC